GAAATAAGTCTTCTTCTAGACTTTCGTGGGCTATCCTTGGTGTTTACACCGAATAAATCCAATCCTATCCAGTAATAACTGGATTTCGGCAACTGGGATTCATTGTTTTTAAGTCGGTAAACTGGTACTCGGCAAACTATGATTCTGCAAAAAGTGGTCTCAGCAATCTGGCATTCGGCAAACTGGATTTCAACAATCTGGCCTACAACCAAAAAAAAAGGTAACATTCTGCTACAGACACCCAACTTTTGGTGATACTTATCCTTATCAATTTTGTCTGTTAACATGTCCTATTTCTGCAATGAAGTACAGTACTTGTATTTGTCCACTCCTTTGGAAATAAATCCAAAAGTTTCAGTGAGCATCACTCGTTCTTACTCACTGAACTCACTACCAACAGAAACACTACTAGTAAAATTAAAATGATGGTTATGAGTAGGCCTAGCCTGTTTCTCTACCCAGTAGGTTGGCTTGTGGGGCGATGTCAAAGCATCTCTCTAGCCTTTGGCCAAAATATTCAACAACCTAGTAGAAAATATATCCCACAGATTTGATAATAAGTGATTGATTTTTCAAGTGATTAAAATATAAATAAACCCTGAGTTCTTTCATTATTATTCATGATAATTGAAAAATACAAAGTTCCCAATACCTAAATATTAAGTTGCGGATTACTGCACAGTGCAGAATACACTCAAATCAAGTTTAATACATTATGATCATTTCTTTGCCAGAAACAAATCCACGATATCTCACTCTACGATGTCCAATAAACCTGACATTTGTTACATAAATGCATCCCTCAATTATCCCTTCTTGTCCATTATACCACATATATCAACTTCCAAACCTATTTTAATAGCTAGTAACTTTGCTGTTATATTCCCATGGCATCCTTCTTTATGAATTTTGCATGATTTCGTCTCTTCTTTCCATACTGTAAGAGTGTAGCATCTGTAGACATTTATTGGCAGGCGTCAAACTGCTTCACTGAGCTTATAAACATCAGTTCGTTTTTGGAACTGGACTGGTACCTGTTGTCGGACATCTTCCAGGTACCTGATGTCCAGGTCAGCATAAATAGTGTCCTCCATGTGACCGGCCTTAGCAACTACTTCACCCCTATTAAAAAAGAACACAAATTATCCAATAAATTAGGCTATTTCTACTGGTCTATAAATGGTTGATAAAATTTTGAGGTGAAAAGGTCGAAGGTTAAAGTCAAAATTAGTTTGTCAGTTACGCGGCACTAGTATGGAATCACTCATCCATGACTGTCCTACCTGGCGTCCCACGTTTCATACGTAGATTTGGCCAATTGCGTTCCAGAATCTACTTGACGAGGTGACCTTAACATTTTTGCACGCGCAGATGACTTTTAGTGACGTCATTACGTTCTATGTCCTACCATCGTCATGCAATCAAAGCTCACTAATTTGGCTGTCATAATGAAACGTTTGACTTGACAAACAATATTGCAATTATTATAAAGCGTTTTGATTTCATATTAGGCTATTTCAATTGGTCTATAAGAGGTGATTAAATATTGGGGTGAAAACGTCAAAGATGAAGGTCAAAATTAGTTTGTCACGTGATGATGTGATGTGATGTCATCATGACCATATTTAGGCATGTCACATGTTAAATTTCATTTAATAGTCTGCACAGGGCTTTTTATGTGGCGAAGATTGCCAAAAAAAGTCACTCCTCACAAATCAGGCAAACATGTTGGAATATCAACATTTTTGAAATCTTTGTTATTGCACTAAACTAAACTATATATCTATATATACAGTATATATACATCATGGGATGTTATTATTATTTGATGAATGTGTCCGCTTGAGAAAAAATTTTTCAGTCGAATTAAACTTTGAAGGCTGATTTCTCTTTGAGTCCTTTAAACAAATGTATGTTTAAACTTTCGTAAATTTGTAACGAAATGTCAGATTTAAATGATTTTTTTTAACTATTTCATAACTTTCATTTTACTGTTTAACCCAACTAAAAATCCATTTCTTGCGAGGGGTAATTGTTTTGACTTGTCTTTGCCATATACATGACCATGTAAATCCCAAACATGCTTGTAAATTGTAAAGTAGAGACGACTCACCAAGGATTTACCACTGTGCTGTGTCCCCAGGCAACGTAGGAAGCACTTTCATCACGGGCAGGTGAAATGGCAGAAACGTACATCTGATTATCGAGCGCCCTGATAGAAAAACAAACATTTAATAATTGAACACGCAATGTGCGTAATGGTGATAAAATACTGAATTTATACTCTTTGTCAATTAATAATTTATCAACCATACATTTTTAAAGGTACAGTCTGTGTGTTCAGTTTTATAAGTATGAGAAATAAAAGTCAATAAATGTATTACTTTAGTAAACTGTTAGCTTTCAACTGAAAATCTATGATGATATCATATATATATAAATCAAAAAATTATATGATAATGATATACTGTATTCATAAGAGATAGAGCAGCTTAGCTCAGTCATCTAAACTGGTGGTAGCCACTGCATGCGTGCTAAACCATTGAGATCTCAGGTCCCTGGTTAATTTTCCATCGCTGCGCTCCTTGTTTTTCAGATGGAGGACTGAAATACAAGTTATGATATTGCATCGTCTTTCGGATGAGATATTATGGGCCCATGTGCATTATAGCCCATGTGCATGAATACAGTATACTCTTCGGAAAAAAGTATGGGGGTATGTCACGGCATGCCTAATACCACCAGAAGGACAGACCTTGTGGGTTAACCTTGGTATCTTACACCAAATAAATCTATCAAAAAAGAGAAAACAGTATATTTTCCATACTAATTAACATATGAATATTTTATTTAATTTATTTAGGCTACCTGGTAAACAATTTCATTTAATGATTCAAAAAAATATTTGTCTCAAAGAGAAACACAATAAAAAAAAAATTAAAATCAATTTAATACACATACTGTAATAATAATACTGTGGCTTCAAAATTTCAACACCTTCAAATCTTAGACAGACATTAGTAGTAATCTATGATAGTTCTTTCCTATTTTCTCTCCGCTCCATAGGTAGGAAGATAACCTGTGCCTTGTAGATGCAACTAGGCTGTAATTAACACAGGCGTGGATTAACTCATTCAACAACTTTCTTCTTCCCTAAGGGTCACATCATGTCCAATCAGCTACCAAGAGGCGCACTTTCGTCTGTCCACGACAGGGGCTAAGTGGACCAGCACACCTCGAAGGATGTACTGGGTTCTTTATAAAGTGCACACATGCCAACTGTGTACACTGGGCCTCAGTCGGAGTCCTTATCTGAGAAAACTTGTTCTACCACATGGAACACAGACGAGTGTGCTGTTCAAGCCACCGTTGATATGATGGCTGTTGGTTTGCGCCACCACTGCATTTACCGCTCGGCCTTGCGACTCGCTAAATTACATCCTGATAAATCAGACATTTTCAGGGTCCTACAGTATGACCAGACCGCCACTCCACAAGCATCATAAAAAAAAATTATTATTTAAAGAGCAAATAGTCCCAAAAAACCAAAGGATCCACTGATTATTCGCAAATAGAATATGAGTATGGTGACTCCAAAAAATGACAGACATTGAGGCATAATTGATTCTATGTTTCGTTCTTTATTAGAACATTTTCAAGAAAATGCTCTAATAAAGAACGAAAGGTAGAATCAATTACGGACTCACATCTGCCTTTTTCGGAGACACCATACTCATATTCTAAATAGTCCCCAGATAGTTTGCTTTATCAGGATGGATTATAAAGAAAGTAGAAAAATATTGTTTTAAATCTTGTATAGCTAAAACATTTTTTATAGTTTTGAAAAGTTAGTTGAACTACGGATCTGTTTAATGTACCTTGCCTTCTGTAAAATCTC